GTTTCTGCCAGAATAGTGATTGTTTGGAGCCCTTTGAGTAAAGTTTGCAGATGATTGACTAAGATTGATATCTGCCATTTCATTCTTAATTGTGTTGATGTAATCAAGTATGCTCTCATAAGCCATGAGGGTGGATTGAAGTTATTCTCAAGATATAGAATCTCTGCTATTAATTTGGACAACAATGGGTGTATATTCTTCATCTAGGCCAGCCAGAATTTGAGTCACCAAATCTGTGAGTGGTATGACTTTCCCAGCAACTTCAAGATTATTGGCAAGGAGTTTTACCTTGCTCAAGTATTGATCAATACTCAGGCTATCTTTCCTGGTTTTCTGCAGTTCACAATGAGAAATTGAACCTCGATTTGTTCTGAATGCCATATCTATCACTTATTGCAGTCCATAGTTTATGAGAGTCTGTAGATCCCATAACTCTCAGTACAATATCAGGAGTCATTGTTGCATAGAGCCATCCCATGAGTAGCTGATCGATGGATTTCCACTTACTGAATTTTGGATTAGATGTCATCTCTACACTAATCCCTGATTATCCTGTAATCTGAGTGCTGGTAAATTCAGAGGGACACACTTTGGTTCCCAGTAAAAACTCTTTCAGATTGTGGCCTCTGATGATGGGTAGAATCATGTTCTTCCATAGGAGATAGTTGTCTCTGTCGAGTTTGATGGAAGGGGTTTAAGTGAGGGTCACACCAAACGGAGTGAAATGGTTACCTCCTAGCATTGGAGACACCACTGTGTTAGCTACTGAAGTTGATTGGGCCTACTGACTGTTGGTTCCAGCATTATTGGCGTTTGCCATTGGAGCTCTGATACCAAGTTAAACTTTGTAAAAAAGATATATTAATCAGCTTAATGCTCAATACAATACAAATGAAGATGAGGTGAAATTTATACAAGTAAAGAATATTCTAGATGTTGAATCTAAGTTGTACAAGTGAAAAAGGAATCAATGGTGATCCATAATTTAAGGGTGGTCCAGCAACTAGGAGGAGAGAGAGAGAGCTGAGTGGAATTCTGGTGCACCTGATCCAGTAAAACGTGAGTGTGCGTGAGTGTGCTACATGGAATTTAGTTGGTTAATTAAGCTGTGCTAACATTGCTGAGCAAGAGCATTTAGCAGCAGCACCGCTGCCGCAAGTAGAGCAGCTACAGCCATGGGTGAAAGAAAAGGGGTTGATGAATAGGAAAGTTAAAGGCAACTCTACTAATTCCAAGACAAGGAAATGCTTAAAAAATAAAAAAATTATTGGTTGGAGAAGAAAGTACACGAGTTGCTAAGAAGCTGAATCATAATGACAATGAGAGAAGGTGAAGGTGCCGATGAACAGTAACAGTGAGGACTTCATCGGTTGATGTCACATTTGAGAGTAAGGGCTCACACAGGATCTGTGAATTTGTTCCTGTTTCTAGTAAAAGCACTTTTTGAGAAAGTTATCATAGACCGAATTCCCCTCACTTTAAGAAAATTATCCGAATATTTTCAAAAGTAGTTTCTTAATCTTAGAAACAACTTTCGAATTTTCAAAAATCTTGCTAATAGGGCATTGGCTTTACATTAAACATCATAGATTAATAATTTATTTATTTATTTACCAAAATATGCATTTGATACCCAACTTTTTTCAAGAAAGGTGTATTGCATTGAATTTTATCTTACTGGAAATTAATATAAATTCCTGCAGAAGAGATGGACTGCACCGGCTTTAGTCGATCGTGTTCTTAAATACTTCCCGGAACTCGAGAACGAGAAAGAAACACTTGAGCTCAAGAAACAAAACTACCTAATTCAATCAGAAGAGAGTACCAGTATCAATAGTCCAGATCAGAGTTCACAGCAAACTGGGATTGACAGTACTACAGTTTCTGTAAATGAAGTTAGAGAGGGAGAAGCAATTATTCAAATTTGCATGGAAAATAGTAATGCATTCACATTTGGATAACTCGCAAATGGCACGTAATTGATAAAAGTTTAAAATACTAGCACGAGTTTAAGCTTATTTTTGTTTATTTATTTTAAATAACTGGTTTAACCTTTTGATCATTGATCATTTACCTTTTAAGAATCGATATTCGAACAGATTTTCAAAACATTAGAAAGTACAATACGATATATTGATACCAATATTGGGTTCGTAGTAGTTTGTTGGAATTATTGCTTAATTAATTTAAATGAGCTCACACATTTATTTAGAGGTATATTCGACTTTAAAATACTTTTATGACTAACTTTTGCATAGTTCGTGAGTTTTTATTGACTTTTTTATTCTATATATACGAAAGATTTTCATAAATTTTTATCAACTTTTATAGATTTTAATAAATTCTTAGACTTATATATATTTTTTCATATTTTTCACATATAAATCTGGTTATTTACTTCTCTACAACAATGATATGCCAATTTAAAGAAGCTTAATGAAAATTTAAAGTATCAAAAGAATTGTTTAGAGCGTTTTTATCAGTGTGCAGTGAGTGATTTCCTTTGATGTATAATAAATATTTATTAATGAAAATCACAACACTATAATTATTTTTAAGTTGTAAAGAATTTGATTTTAAAGAAAACTGAATTAAGCACATTATCATGTGTTTATTCACCTTATTGCAATACCATCAAACAAGTATATTGATTGAGTTTATAGAGTATCAGTATAGCGAAATCACCATCACCGTGATACAACTAAAATAACACAATTTTATACATAATACGAAGGAACATATCACAACTCAGTCTAAAAAAGAACTTATGATCTAAAAAATCTAATTTCAATTCCCGCCAAACACCTTCTTAGTTTTTTACATTTTATATAATAAAAAATATATACCACATGTAGTCTATGCATTGTGAAAATTAGGGATGAAAAACTGCGGCTAAATTTTTATTATTATTTAAAAAAAATTATTAATTTATTGAATATTCATTTATCGAAATTTTATTATAACTGAAAACGAAATAAATTTACTCATATTTTAAGTTGATGTATAGCATATGCATATATGTATTAGTGCACTTTACTTTATTAAAAATTAAAAATTGTTTAGCTTATAAGAGTTAAATAAAAATATATCCATGTTTGGTACAAGTTAAAATTTAGATTTTAATATAAGTTAAAAGTTAATAATTCACTTTAACCACATTTTCATTCGAGCAGTAGTTTTTCAACCATATATTTCAAAGGGGCTCTAAATCAATTAGGCTCATGCGGGCTCCAAATCTTAGCAACCAGAACAAAAGCAAAGCCTCGCGACCTAAGCAACGCCAAGAATAAGATGTTATCACACACAGAACATCAAATTTCTCATAGATCTCTCAGTTGATAAAGTGTTTTTCTCATAAAAGAACCACTTCAAGTAATCTTCAAGGCATAGTAAGTAGGTGCAAAGATTAACCAGAAAAGCTCAAAAAATCAACAATGGACAGTAAGAGCTTTCAGAGAGAAAACAAGAGAGTTTGAATCAGTGAAAGAGAAAGAAGATTGGACAACCATTTAACAATTTATAGAAAGATCTCAAATAAATTAAATAATTAAATCTTTAACAACTGCAATTAGCAAAATTTTCACTTTTCAAGTGCTAAGATTATCCAAAAGGTATTGAAATTGCCGTAGAGAAATGTGGTTATATATGTTTAGAGTTGTAAGATAGATATTTGTGTTAAGATATTGATATCCACATAAGTTTTCAAATATTTAGTTATAATAATAAATCCAAACATAAATAAAAATGGGGTGGTGGCGCAGTTGGCTAGCGCGTAGGTCTCATAGCTTTCTGAGTAATCCTGAGGTCGAGAGTTCGAGCCTCTCTCGCCCCATAAAATTTTTCCTCCCAACAAAATGGGTCTAAAAATATTAAAACAAAAATACACTGTATATAATTTTTTTCCCTGATTAAGTTAATCCTCCGGAGATTCTACCTTTTTTTTTTCTTGACGAAATTTCTTATTTCCCTTTTATTATAATTTATTAATTAATTTCGTTTTGCACAATCCTTCTGAAACCACTACCAAGTTATTTAGGACACATCAAAATCATTTATTTAAGGTACCAGAAAAAGAAGGAACAAATAATTGAAATTGAAATTGATTAGGTAACAGCCCGACATATGTAATTAGGTAAAGTGAGTGAAGTGCAGCATAATCCGAATTCTTTCAAACATGAGCAACGTTTCTAGTAGTTTTTTTTATTATTATTATTATTTATTAACAATTTTTTTTCTGGTAAATCAAATTTGTTAAACTATCTATATTATTAACTAAAAATTATTCATAACTTTAATTTTTTAATATTATTAATTACAACACACAGATTTTTCATTTAAAATAATTTACAATTTTTGTTAACAATCATACTTGACAACATCACATTCATCCATTTCAAAAATTATTTTTAAAATTAATGGTCCAAATTTTGACGACATCAATGTTGTCAAGTACAAATAGATTAATTCTTTAAAAATTGTAAGCCTTCGATAAAACTGTACTGGATGATTGTTTGTGTGTTGTGTGCAACAACCAATAAAATCTTGACATCTAGTAATTTGGCAAAACAAAAAAAAAATTTGTATACGGCCCTATACATGTTAGNTTCTGAGTAATCCTGAGGTCGAGAGTTCGAGCCTCTCTCACCCCATAAATTTTTTTTTCCCTAATTAAGTTGGTAAGATTCTATTTTTTTACTAAACGACATTTCTAATTTCCTTTTTATTACCGTTATCAATTAATTTAATTTTGCATAATCCTTCTTAAAATGCTACCAAACTTTAATTTTTTTACTAATTAAAATAAGAATTTAAGATTGTTGTCTGTACTTATCAAAGTATGCTATCGGACCGTATTTCCCAAGAATGAATAATCATGCCCGGATGTGAAATAAATAAATGCAAATATGCATGCAATTTGAATTATTTGTTCATCAGTACTTTTATCTCACATTTACTGGATTTTTTTAAATATGTTACTTAATGATTTATAGTCATTAATAACCTTAATAACAAAAAATCCATATTTTGGGGACCAAAACATATTTGTTGCAAATTTGTGGAAATACAAGAATAGCCGTCCAATTTGACCACGATCATTAGATCATATATATAACCTCTGCATAGTTTAAATTAGATATTGACAAAAATTCCAAATCAAAATTAATAAATAATTTTAACAATACATTTAATGGAATCCACAATTTTTTAATTACACATTTCATCAACTTTTATCAACATTAACTAAAATTCTAATTTTAATCTACGCCAAACAAGGACATGGTGAAACATAATCAAGTAATCTTCATGTTTGATCGAATTCCAACATCAACATACTTGCATAAAATAGAAAACAAAATCACACGTGAAATATGAATACATTTAAATTATGTACTTGTGCAGAACAATTGCAATTGTGCTGCAACAACAAACACAAGTAAACTACACAAGGCTACCAGAATCAACTACATAGAGATCAGCTCCTTTTTTGAACGCCTGCTGGGTTCACCTCAGTTGCTGGAAACAAGTCGCGTATTGAATTTGAGTAACGATAGAACTGCACCAGCAATTACACTTGCTTTTGTTAACCTTTTCATTTCCATTATCATCAGTACAACTACAGAAAACTGTAATAGAACATAACAAGCATTTTTTTCTCATTTTCCACCACTTCATCAACTGATAATTATTATTAGAAACATCTGAAGCAACTCCACAAGAGTAGGTTACTAAGGTCCAAGTGGCTTGAACTGGCCAAATTTCTCATCTAAGCACTTAATATTACAATTTGGAGAAATTTGTCAACCTCATAACTATATACTGCTTTGAAACTGAAATCTATAGATGGTGATGTGTTTAGAGTTGTATGATAGATAGTTCGGTAGAGCATGAGAGCAAAAATGACTTTGAATAGGACGTGGCTGCTGTATTTGTTCCACATCATAACAAAAAAACTAAGAATTTTCCTAAAATAGGCATCTGTATTTGCTCGGCTTCATTAAAAAAACTGAACATGCATCTCATGCATGTGTATGGTTATGAAGTTCTAACCAAAAACGTAGCAGACAAAAATGGTTAAAATTTACATAAAATTGACGAATGAAAACCACGCACCTCTGTCATTATTTCTTCACCTTTCTGGCCTAATTCTTGCATTTTAGCTTCTCCTGACTGCTTCACCGAATTGATCTTTGAAGTGATAGCATCACCCTAATATGAGCCAGAAAGAAAATAAGATTTAGAATTAGAAACTTGTTGCCCAAAATACAACTTCAAACTGGCAAAACAATTGATATGTTTGATGGTACCTCTGCAACCACTGATTCGACCTGTCTTTGCCTTTGATCGAGAGTATGCTTCTTTGATTCCACTTCTAATTTCACATTATTTAATTCCTTGGTTGCGTCCTCCATTCTGAGAGAACTTTCTTTTTCAAGCTGCCTTTTATATTCTTTTAACTGGTCCGCTGAACAACGCATTAAACTTAAGGTGCAAGGATAAAGTACAAATGATAATGACGGAAAGCAGATGAAACTGCGGCTACCTTTTGCTTGCAGTTCAATTATTCTGGCCTCAAGTGACTTATCTAACACTCCTTCATCACTTAGCTTACTTTTAAGTACCTTAACATCTTTCTCAACAGATTTAGCAGAATTTACCTGTTAGTAGTATGTGCAAAACGTTAAAAAATATAAGGTCAAAATGAGTGATTTTATAACCAATGCAGATGTATATTCACAAAGCACGAGTACTAAACTAAAACACTAACACAAAAGCACTAGACTATTGGTGATATTTTACGATTATAAGAATAATGAAAATTCAAGGTAGAAAATGGGATGAGAAGAAGCTGACACATTATTACTTTTCCTTGAAAAGATAATGGAGAAACCTCAAGCAAGTATGAAGGGAACACATTCCATTAAAGGATCATTTCATCATACAGATCATACTGATGGACAGGACAAGATGATAGAGCATTAGTATTAATTACACCTGCTCTTGTAAAGCCTGCATCAAGGCAAAGTGCTTGGAGATTTTCTTGCTTGCCTGAGGGACAAAAAGAAAATATTATCAAGTTCATCGAGTCTAAAAGATAAAAAATTGTAGTATGCAAACAAATGCAACAACTGGAGTACACTTCAAGCTAGATATCGATAATGTCACCCAATAAAAAGATGAATGACAATAAAGGTCCGACATGTAACAGTTATCGACACAGTATACCTTAGCGTAAGCCTCAAGTGTGGCAGTCTTATCCTGGAAAGATTGAACTGCTGCTCTTTCAGCATTTTTTGCCTCAACTTGAGCCAATTTTTTCTCCTCCAAAGCCCTCTGTCAAATTTGAAAATGAACATACTCTTCAGTTTAGTAATCTGAAAGATAGATCTATTTCTTCATAAAAAAACAATTTCATAAACTGAATTAAATTTGGCCCCTATTTGACAACCATTATTTTGGTAAAATGGAGTTTTGAATAGTGATTTTTTTGAAGAATGTAAGGTTAAAAAGTAAAGAAAAGTTTTGGATTCACATATAAAATATTTTATTGCATGAATGTGTGGTTGAAAATGAATATGTAGAAAAAAGAGTTTTGAAATAATGGTTGTCAAACATGGACTTGATTTATTTATTCCACATTGCTTATTAAGATTGTGTGAATATTAAGGCCTTGTTTGGACTCCTTTAAAATCAAATTTTGAGGAAAAATGTATTTTGAAATAGTGATTTTTTTAAGAAGGAAAAGTTTTGAATTTACGTGTAATATTATTTTATCGGAGAATGCGTGGCTGAAAAAAAGATAGAGAAAAATGCATTAAAATTTTAATGGAACCTAAACAAGGGCCAAAGTTTTTCGAGATTACATATAACTCTTGTAGATTAAAAGTTAATAAAAATCCTAAATCAAATCAACAGTTAATTTTAACCACCCATTTCATGGGACCACAAATTTTCTACCATATATTTTATCAACATTTATCAAAGTCTACTAAAAATCTGATTTTAATCTACACCAAACAAGGGCTTAGTTTAAAATGATCCACATAAATTGTTAGCGTGTGGATAACTCATAACTTAAAATTTTGTCCGACCATAATTGGTGAATAAAGTTGAACATTTAATGTAAAAGAATATACTAATGTGTACATAATGAATGGCCGAATTGGAGAGAGACTTGCATATGAATATATACCTTTAGTCTCAAGGACAAAGACAATGGAATGAAATCAGAACCAACAATTCAAGTAGCAGCACCAGAAGTTTAAGCATACATTCTCCTAATCATGACTGGTATTGCACGTTAAATTCATATTGAAGACAAATGTTGTACAGATGTCACTGACTGCCACCCAAAATTCATGGAGTCTAAATAGAATATCTGCTTTTGTTGTACCACATGGTCGTGTTACTAAAATATAGCATGACAAAAGAAAATTCTTGATGTGGTAAGGATACAACCACTAGTACATAGGTTGCAAATTGCAATGCAATACCTGATTTCAGCTAAGCAGTAAAACAGTAGCATTAGAACATTTTTCCTAGTAAATAATTTAGGTTGCAAAACCTAGCTTAACAACTACATTTAGAATCTCTGAACATTTCATGACATTTACTTGGAGCAGTCTATTGAACTAACACAGCGTCAGCCAACGACATACATAGATGATAAATACTTGTACCTGAAGTTTGTCTGGTGATTGAACAATTTTTGAACGTAAATTTGCATTTTCTTGGACGCTTTGCACTAAAGCAAATTCAGCATTGGAGACCTGGGTATAAATGAAGATACGTCAGTATGTCAAATGTTATTCTACTGATGGTTAAAACAGCAAAACGTTTGCAGATTCTGCCAGAAACTCAATGTACGAATTTGTAAACAGCAGAAGAACCAAATTATAACTTCCTAAATTGTGTGGCACCTCCAAGAGAAATAATTGTTCTAGTGATGGAAAGTGCAGACTTGAATAATAGATGGGAGGAATAGAATAGAGTTCAGATCAAACAAATAAGAACAACAGCATGAAAGAAGAAATGTTAATCAAAGTAGACCAACATGATATCAAAGTCAGACCTTCTCATCCATTTCTTTGGTCTTCTCCTTCAATTGTTTTATGGAAGTCTTCAAAGACATTTGGTGATTATTAAGACCTGAAATAGTCTGGCGGAGTTCAGTGACTTTAGAATTGACTTCTTGAACAAGTGGCAACTCCCTTTCTCTTGATTCCTCACACTCCGAAATCTCCGCATTCAACTATGAGGCAGATGAACGAGTTACTTCACATAGATTTTAGTTAACTATGCAGGTATCCAGCACAAAAGTTGGGTTCATAAAGGTACCTGATTGGTTCTAGCTTCTGCAGCAAGTCTTCTCTCCTCAAAATTGGTAAGTTCTTCCACAACCGGTCTCAGAAGCTCCAATTTTGTCTCTCTACCATTATATATACATAAAATCAGGGTTTGTATTCAACTTCAGATCATATTCATTTCCAGCCATTTCTACAGCTAAGGAAACAGCGATGCATAAACCTTATAACCCAAGATTTTTCATTTTTCACCTGTGTATGCAGAAATTGAGTAGCGCACCGAGGAAGAGCTCTGTGCGATCTGTCTCAGGCTTTATCAGGTCCTTGGGCGTGAAGGTCTTGGGGCAGTCCACAGCAGCCAACAACTCTCGGACCTTATTGTACAAATTCATAACTTGAACCGAGTGCACGTGGTGGTCCGGGTTCTCCAGATGCTCCAGCGCTCCAAAATCCATTTGCCCATTGTCTTCCCTACAACAACAACAATAGTAGTAGTACTTGCAATATCCACTTCAGAATCAAAAATAAACTGATACAATTCGGGTAGCATACTGGAGAGAGTCAACGTGCAGGAGGATGTGAGTGTAGAGGTTGCAGATGAAATCGGGGTCGGGATGGAGAAGATCTGACTCAGAGATGTTGGCGATTTGAAATTCTGCCAGTACTGCTATGATATCGTGGCGAGGCATTGTCGGATAATCGAATCTCGACATTTTTATTTATGGCAGGCAGATATGATGAGAAAATTTGTTTATATTTCTCTGATAAGGAGCACTGGCAACTGCTGCTCGAACATAAAATATCCCAAGAAAAAAATGGACCTGAGAAACCAGGTCTGTCCAGACAAACAATTGCAGTAAGTCCTACGCTACTGATAATGAGAAACAATGGAGAAATGAGAATTGATGTACCAGAAACTGAAATGAAAAATTATAATATATGCAGCAAAATGTTGCAGAAGTATGAACAATAAATCTAAACAGTTTACAAGCATGAGGCAAATATAGGCTTGGAGAACCCTCCCCATAACAACATACTTTCCAATTTCCAACTACACACACAAATCCATCAAAAGAACTGAAAACTGATATTTGTACAGATACTTAGCNNNNACTGATATTTGTACAGATACTTAGCCTCACAAACATGGTAAGAAAACTGGAAGGAAGGGTAATTGCAGATATAAATTTTTTAGGTTTTGATTTTTTTCTTAGTAAGGACCAAGAAATTCAAAGCCCCGCCCATCCCACCGTTCTACATACACAGTCAAATCCACCTCCACTGTCGTCTAAATAGCCACCACCCAGCCACCGAGTTCAAACAGCCCCAAGGCCCCCAACCATAACTGTAATAAAAACACCCTGTCCAAAAATTAGCACAGTGGAAAACAAATCGGACTAACCTTTCCCAGTAAGCTCCAGCGATAGTTGATAGCAAAATTACTTGAGAAGGCTGATGAAAATCCGAATGAGAGGAGTGAGCAAGAATCAGAGACAGAAATGAAAACGAAAAAAGGTGAACAGAGACAAATTAGGAAATTAGGGCGCCCAAAAAAAATTGGAAATAGGAAAAATAGGGCGCGCAAAAAAAATTTCAAGCAGGAAAATCTGGGCCCAAAAGTTCAAGGACGGCTTTATCTACATTTTTGTTAAAAAAGAAAAAAAAAAGGGTATTTTAATTAAATTGAAAAATTAATAGTTGATTATTAAGGGTATGTTTGGACCAAATTTTAATCTAAGTTAAAGTCAAATAATCAATACCAATCACATCTTTCATGGGTTCCACATTTTTTCAACCACACATTTCAAAAACTTTTATTATGTTCCACTTAAAATTTGATTTTAATCTACACCAAACACTCTCTAAACTTCTATTTGATTGGATGTAGATTAAAATTAGATTTTAAAAAAAATTGATAAAAATTGATAAAATATATTACTAAAAAACTATAAATTTTATGAAATGTGTGATTGACTTGAGATTCTAATTAAATTTTAATCTAAACCAAACAAAGACTAATAATGAAGTAATTTAGAGCTTATTTGGTAAATATTAAAATCGGATTAAAATTAAAAAATTAGTCGTTATTGTTGACTTTTATTAGACGAGTGAGACCCGATAACGGCTATATTTTCAATTTTAAGCTTTTATTTTCAATTTGGTTTAGTTACAAAAAATTGATTAAAATTAAAATTAAAATCAATAATTAAATTTAACCACGTATTTCATGAGATCTGCGATTTTTTAACCCTATATTTTATTAATTTTTATCAAAATTTACTAAAAATTTAACTTTTTATCTAAACTAAACTAGGGCTTGATTTAAAGGACTCGTTTACGTGATTTATTTAAAATAACATGATTTAAAGATAAAATTGTGATATTTAAATTGGATTCAAAATTAGGCAGTTTTATTTAATTATATATATAGTAGTACTAAAATATAAAATTGTTTTAAGGGTTTGAAATTAGAGTTTGAAAATAAAATTCATTCAACCCGATGCTCGTGGGACCCTGCCCACATTCTGGGCAGGGATTACCCGCCTAAATGGGTAAACTAAGTAGGGATGGGACGAGGGTCATTGCCCCAAAACGGGTATGGGACGGATACGGGGAAAATAGTCACCGCCTCGCTATCTGTCTCGTTTAAAGTTAATTTCAAATTTAAGCTTTTTATCAAACAAAAATAATAGATTTATTATATTTTTAAAAAAAACGGAAGTTTTTTTAACAAATTGATAAAAAAGTAATGATACTTACTAATTAAAAGCATAAAAAAAATAAAAATAAATGGGGCTGGGGCTGGTGCGGGGTCGGCTGATCCCGCCACGTCCCACTTTAATTGGGTATGAGGATCCAGGTAACAAAAAATATCCAATGGAAAGAAACTGGAAATGACTAACACGTCTCATACCCCTCTAGTTGTCATCCAACTTTGAGATGTTGAAAACAAAGGGTTGTCAATCAAGGAAACATGGCACCGCCATTTTCAATATCCACACAAGTTTCAGTGCAATCTACAATCTTTGTTCATGCTTCAAGAGCCCTGAATTTTTAGATGTATACCAGATATTTAGGTCAGTCAATACAAATTACAACTTGGCTTCTAACTTTTCAAATAATTTGTTCATCTCACACGGAAATTCTTTTTATCAATCAGACTAAATTTCACTATTTTCTCCCATCATTCCATTCGTTGCTCGATCGACGAGTCCATGCCTAACTTTGAGATCATGAGAGAATAGTACTTCAAAAAGTAAAAGGGTTAAAATTTGAGAACTCGAGTCTTATAAACCGCCACACAAAATGTGAATATTTTTTATGGGAAAATTCTGGTCGGCCAGGGTCAAGGACCGACCAGAAAACAGGGGGCTGAGGTGTCATCACCTCAGCCCCTGATTTGATGAAATGGGCCCCCCCATGAATTGAAATCAAGGGCCGAGGTGCAGCCACCTCGGCCCCCTGTTTTTGGGCCTGTTTTTGGCCCTGTTCGTCCAGCAGATCTC